AACATGTCCAACTACTCGAGACTTCATCCAAGAAGAATTCATCAGGATGGAATTAATTTGTTGTATCAGTGCAGAGAATCGGTTGTTAAGGGGACGATCACCGACCGACGGCTTAGATCGAGATGATGTACGTGAGAAAAAGTTGTAAAGAAAATTGGGACTAGATTCCTAAATGAACCAACGAAAGGAATTCAAGATGATCATTACAGCCAAGGGCTTCATGAATTTAGAATTCATTAAAAAGAACTCGGAAATCAAGACAATCACTTGGACCGAAGGACTCGATGAAATGAAGACTTCATTGGGCTCTTAAATGGGACTAAAATACTTTGTGACTTTAAGACATTTTCCGTACTTTGGACTTGATATTGAAGTTGATTCAAATTTTTTATGCATTCAATATGACTTCAGTGCCTTAAACTCAAGGACTTGAGGAATATTGAATACTATTAATGCTTCAGATGAAAGTACTTGAAGTGGTACTATATTCTTGACAAAGATATATTTTTTGAGTGCAAATTGTGAATGAAAAATAAATAAATAACAAATGCAGAAACTACAAACGGAGTTGGGGCATAAGTCGAGTGACTCGCGATCATGGTAGACACACCCATCCGATAGCTGGGTGTGTTGGGGGCCTTCTTTCGATTCTCTCTTCAGTTCCTTATATTTTCCTTTTGGTTTCCTTTCCAGAGAGCGTTCGTTAACATCTTTTGTGAATGCGGCGATCCTCTACTCGTAAACATCAAATGAATTTAAGGTTGTATCTTCGTTGGGAATATTGTCTTCCAGAGCTCCTGGAACTAGGGTCTTGACGGGCTTTTTATTTAAGACGTCAGCACAGAAGGTATCGGTATGAATGGATTCGAGGTGACTGGCACAAGCTGTCTTAAAATCGCACATCTTGCGTTGTTCTCTCTTGTTTACGACGAGATAACTATCTATGACTTAAAATTTAAGTCGCGGAATTTAAGACACTCGTTTGAGTCGAGTCGAAGCCCCTTGACGATAATTTGATGGAGATTTTAGAGAGAATTTTGATTTAAGACACTGTGTTGTCTTAATTGTGTCAACTCCTTGGATTTAAGACGCCACCAATAAATTAATTTTTAATACGTTTTAATCCTCCATCTTAAGACACCTCGGAATCTTTCCCTCGTCAAAATTCAGCATAAAAGTCCGACGACTATTCAAACACCTAATTATCTCAATCTAGAAATCAGAAGAATCATTTAAGCTCATGGCCATCAATGTCTTAAAACGACGACAAGAACGTCTCAACCTACTTCACCAGTTTCCCTACTAATAACGAGGCTATAAAACTCTCGAGTCATTTGCGAACGACCAAACGAACGCAGCGATGATTAAGTATCAATCCATAATCAAAGGATGATTAAGCGTCTTAAATAAAGATTTGTCTGAAACTTCATGCGAGATCTAACCTCGGGCCAAACGGTTATCCCCAGCGGACAAAACTTGGTCGACCTTCTCAAACTAATCCGAATACTTAGCAAGATGTCTTAAAAACCCTGTCTTTAATCCCCTACCTGATCATCAGTTCAAGGACAATAAACAACAGCTTGCATGCAATGCAGAAGCCATTCGAGAGAGACAAGCGCAAGATCAACAAGTCATTCAGACAATTCCGTGCTCTCAATAGGTTTTACCTGGCGGATGATTGGTAGGTGGTCCATGATGATGAAGATGGTGATGAGGATATCCAATGGTGGGTGGTGGTGGTGGATAAACGGTACCCCATAAGCAGGATGTTGGTGGTTGCTGCTGGTGATGATGGTGCTGTGTCTGCTGTGTCTGCTGCTGAAGCAGCTGCTGCACCTGGGCAATATCAACGAACTCCTGGAGCTCACCGTCCTCATTGATCGATTGATCTCTACCCCTCGACTCATTACTACCGTGATGTGCAAATGGATTCTGCTGTAGATGATCAAAACCAGCTAGTGGATTCGCCGGCTCGTAATTGTTACCACTACTTCGTCCAGTTGCGTGTTCGCGTCGCATCGCGAGCGCCAGCATCTTTTCGAAAATTTGATCGTTTATTCCGAGTTTATTCCCTCACCACTTGGTAATATTCCAATAATCTCCAGTGGCAGTGAAGTACACAATTGTTATACTTGGTACTTTGTTATTGACACACACGACCAACAATCCCCCGTCAATGGCCAATCAGAGGACATGCTCACGTGGGGTAAAACGGTGTTGAACAATTTACATGAGTCATCTCATATTCTTGATTTTTAACGTTTCACAGGCACAGGACGTCCACAGCAGCTAATGACAAATGAGATATAACAAATGCGATATCCGTCGTCCGGATGTTGGGAGTGATAATGATGCTCAATGGTTCAACAATCCGTCGGTTCTTCCCAACTGTTATATTTATTAAAAATTCACGTGGTCACATTATAATCCTAGACGCACACAAAACTCAAACTGATAACTCAAAATTTCACAGTCAAACTGTTAACAACCAATAATTGTGATGGAATTGATGAAAAATTGGGGAATATGCTGATGAGGAAGAGGAATCACTTGGTGGTCCAGCTTGGTGCAATTTGGAATGGGATTATTGTCGATGGGTAAAAGATGAACGATGTAATAAAAGGTAAAAACTAAAATAATCACTGAGACAAGGAGATGCTGTAGAGCAGGGGTGTCGCGATGGTCCGCGCTAGACTAATAAAGACTTGGCTCGCGCGCGAAGTGCCCCGGAGTGTGCGAGAGCGGGAACGTGAAATCGTTGTGGTCGAGTTGAACGAAGAGAGGACCCCTGGCTACGACGACAAACTACGGAGGAAGGAGGATGATCGCCGGAGTGTGGCGGGAATGCGCCGGTATATTAACCACAACGATATTTGCCAACGTCACGTGTCGGCGACATTCACCCTCGACGTGTTCTGGCTGTTGGATCCATTCAATTCCCGATGATGAACAAATCAAAACAAGACGCTACATTTATCGTTTTTATTTTTTAATTTATTTACTTATTTGACTCTCCCTTCACCACCATGAGGTGGATTGACCACCTCTTCTATCCCTCCATTCGTCTCAATCGTGTGCTCTGCAATCTCCATTCATTCCTTCCTGGCTCCAGCCCTCCTCTCCCTCCAGCTCATTCTTCCCTACTACAGTCCAACCCTCCTACCTTCACCAATACCATCCAATCCCTTTCCCCATTCTTGTTCATCCACGTATTTCACGTTCGTGAGACGTCTCACCAGTAATGGTGGGGACAAAAAAAAAACGCACACTGTGCACGGGTTACTCTGACAGGGTGACGTCATTCGCGTGGGCGCAACCCCCACGCCGATATGTTTCTCTGTATTTGTCTCAGGCACACGACCAGCCACCTCTCGCTCTATCATCTTGTCTCATTTTTCATTCGCAGCGCGGGAAATTATGAGACTTTTTCGAAATGAAAAACATTTTTTGGAATTATTTGGATAATTACAATTGTACCATTTCACAGAATCAAGTGGTACCTGTCGTCAGCCCGCGAGATTATTGTTTAGGGGAGGAAAAATGGGGAGTTTCTGGGATTCGTCATCCATTTCAAATTTCAGCCAATAGGATCGCATCATTCGCCAGCGCGGGAAATTATTCAATTTTTATTGTGGAAACGTTTGAATTTTTAATTGAATTCAGCCAATAAATATTTAATATATCCAATATTTAATAACTATTTAATTTATTTGTTATTTTATATACTTCTCTTGTCCAGGGGTTCGCAAAGTTGAAAGATCGCATTTAGCAATTTCTTCTTTAATCTGAAAATTCTTCAGTCGTTGCCTTTTTTCTGACAAGCTCTGCTCCTGAGAATGAAAACTTTTATTTCATCACGATTTTTTTTTTTTCAAAACTCGGGGAAAAGTGGGAATGGCCTCTGGGCTCATCAATCATCGGTGGGTTGTGGTGTTGTCGGTGTTTTCAGAGTCATCGGGAGGTTCACGGGTTAAGGGAATTAATTTGAACTTCGTCATGATGGAGGGCTTCATAAGGTCATGTTTATGAGAGGTGAATTTTACGTTCGAGAGGTGGAGAAATCAAGAATTGAAGTTTTGAAGTTTTTTAATGGAGGACTTTGTATTGGGATTCCCGGGATTTATTCAATTTATTGATTCTGAGGAATTATTATATATCCCTTAAGGGATACGTCAGAATTAAATAAATTAGAGTCGAATTATTATTTAATATTCCATTCATTATTAACACCCGAAAATTTCCGTACGTCAAAGAAATTTCTTCAACGCCAATAAAATCCTCATTTTTATTTTTGCCTCTTACTTTTTTGATTTTTCAATATTCTCAAAAAATCCGCCATCTAAATTATAAAAAAAATTTTCCTATTCAAATTTTGGAAAAATTTTCCAAAACCTTTCCCAAAAATAAAATTGTTTCGTTTTCCGATTTTTTTTTCATAAAAAAAAATGTCTGAAAAGTTTTCCCGAAATTTTTTGAAAATTTGGAAAAAAATTGCGATAAAAATTTTTTTTTACCCGGGGCACTTGGCACATCGAACCGCACAATCAAAAATCAATCAATCGTTAAACAATAACTCCATTAAATTATTAATAAAATTATTCTTAAAAATCGGCTCAGCTCTGAAGATGCAGACTGCAATAAAAATAAAATTCCCCCCACAGAAATAAATATTAAAAAATGACGGATCTTTCAGTTCGCTTACCGATTACGGAATCGACTAACCAAGACCCACATGACGATATCGTAATTATTCAATAACAATAATAAAAAAAAAATACGGAACTCCGCATAAAAATTCCCCGACTTCAGAAACAAAATCGGTAAAATTTCCCGATCGCCCCAGAATACCAAAAAATCGATGTAATTTTTCAAAATATTCCCCACCGTGCAGAAGCCCATAAAATCGACAACAATAAACACAACACCTGAAGAGAGCTCCCACGAAAAAGGGCAGAACTCCACCCCTGACCATTTCCTCAGGCATGACCGAATAAAGATACGAGGTCGAGTTGACGCCGCGTATATCGAAAAGAAAAGAAAGGCAGTGGAGACCAAACGGTTGAGACACACCACAAACTTGCGGCTAAGAGGAAAAATCTTACGAGAAAGATAACAAGACGATTTAACGTCGTAGTGGGGGAAAATTGGGAAGGACGCTGAAGGAGAGGGGCACTGAGGGGGAAAGGGGTACAAGAGAGCAAGAGGGAGAGAGGGAACTTTAAGCGGGAACTCGCGGAAGAGGGTGGAGAGGGCGGAGAGGGAGGAGAGGGAGAAGAGGGAGAAGAGGGAGGAGAGGGAAGGCAAAGGGTGGGTTCCCCACGAACATGAGGATTGAGTCAAAGGGAGAGAGAGGAAGGTTTGAAGAACGTGTGGCACACGGCACACGCCATATCGGGCAAGAGCTATCCTATACGTGGGCTAAAAACCGCCTCTTCCTCGCCTCTCACCTTTTTCCAATCGTTTGCTCGGGCAAACACACCTTTTTAGCCGGTGTTACATTAATATTGTAATGTCCAAATGGGTGAGAAGGACGGAGAATTTTACAGAGTGAGAAAAGGTGGATTATGAGTGGTATCATATGGATTTGAGCCTGGGGCACTGCTGGACCGGAACCAAATATTTTCTTACCTTGTTGAATGGCCTACCACGTAGAAACTTCCATACTACCCACGTCCAGCGATCACTTGTCCCCGGTGTGCGCCTCTTTTGCCTGGTTGTTGTAACTTTGGGTATGGAAATCTAAAACTTCCATTTCGGGAGGCATGGGTCTCCTCGTCATCGACAGGGGAGTGAGCTGTTATGGAAGTGGGGAAATTCATCGGGATTAGCTCGATGGAGAA